GCGTGAGGAGGCCAACTCCGGGATCGAGCCGATTCAAATCGTTCGCAAGCCTTTACTTCAAACTACCGCACGCCACGTGTTCGACATATTACCCGAACGACCTTTCCAATGGGCAAGAATCCATTTCGTCCCACCAAGAAGAAAACTCCTCAAGAACCGCCTAGGAAACGTCAGGCGGGCGAGTCCTCATCTCGAGATGCCCCTCCGGAAGGTGCACGAGATGATCTTTCGGATCAATACGGGGCCCCGTTCCCGATTTACTCGCGGAAGGAGGGCGAGATTTATGCCCGTCTATCGCAAAAGGAGGTCGTGCGACCCAAGGCGGTGGACTGGGACCTCCTGAACGATTTGGGTATTCTAGACGACGTCATGAAGTACCTCAAGGTCTTGAACTTAACCGACTACGCTAAGATTGAGGAGCGGTCGTACCGGACCCTAATGCTTGAGTTCTACAGTTCTTTCGTTCTCGCCGATGGGAACGACTTCTTCACTTGTCGGCTTAAGGGACAAGAACTCGTGGTGGACAATGCAGTGATGAAGGCGGTTTGCGGGTTCAACTTCGCCGGTACACGAAGCAAAGCCGCCGATTTTGATCCCCAGAAGAGTTGGGCCGCGCTCTCCCCGCATACGACGTGGGATTCCGCTGGTATGTCCAACGGGCTTATCCAGGACCTGGCCACCGCCGTTGTGCACCGGTTCATTTGCTACAATATCACCGGCAAAAAGGAAGCGAACAAAGTCAGTGAGGGTGAGCTTTTCTCCTCTGGGCGATGCGGTCGGGAGTGCGAGTGTGTTCCATGACCTTCCTTCAGAACTCTTTCCAGGAGATTGCCCTCTCCAAGCGTGGACTACCGGCGCTCGGGCATTTTGTTACCGCACTCGCTCATCACTTTGACGTCACTCCAGAAGCTTACAGACTACATGGGGAGATGGCGCGTCAAGACATGTCTGAGATGCGGTGTATCAACTTTAACGAGCTCAAGCAGGCTGACCTTATTCTGAACCGGCGAACAGCTAAGGAGTATACGAAACGTGCTGCCTACGAGACCTATTTCAAGAAGCTCCAGCAGGGTCAGCCTAATTCCGATCCGGCTGGGTCGTCTCGGCAACCGACGGAGGACGCGCATGAGCAGATGCATATTGACGAGGACCATCTACTTCCCCCTCCACCCGACTGGACGCCGGCGCCAAACTCTCACCCGGAGATGCCCCCGCAGCAGCCACCGACATGGTGGTCCACCTTTCAGACTCAGTACACAGCCGACATCCGTTCGATCCACGATCGCTTTGACGCCCAGGACAGCAGATGGGCTGCCTTCGAGAGCCGACAGACCACACAGTGGACCGGTTGGGAGGCACAGCAGACCACTAGATGGGACCAGTGGGAGACCCGGCAGCAGACCCACTGGACTCAGATGGGTACCCAGTTCGACACCTTCGCTGGCGGCCTCCAGTCAATCCGCGAGCGGTAGGACCAGCAGGATGCTCGGATGGACAGCTGGGACCAGCGCTTCACTCAGTGGGACGCCCGTTGGGGTTCGGGTCCCAATCACCCTCACCAGCCACCATCACCTCCGGATGCACAGTGACTTGTCACTGTGCTTTTATTTGTGTACAGTTTCTTTGTTTCTGTTTTTGCGTTGGTTTGTTATATGGTCTAACTCTCCTTCACCGCGACTTGACAATGGGGACATTGTCTGGTTTTAAGTGTGGGGGAGTTTTACGTGATTATGTGGTAGACCAGTCTAGTTTTTAGGTTCCTGTGCGTTTTCAGAGTCTGGACATTGGTGTATTGCAAAGCTTTTTGATAATCGTTGGTTTAATTGAGAAGATGTGAAACATGAGCACGAGTAATATATCTTTAATTGATTAGCTTCGTTGTGTTGAGGAACATATTTACCTTGTGAGGTTTGAGCCTTATTGTTTCTTGTGTGATATTGGTCTGAATCTTGTTAATTAGAATTTGCCTTGAGACTGGTTTGAAATAATTGGATTAGATTGATGTGACGTGAATATGATTGAGGCATTTCTTGTACTCTCTTTTCCTTCTTCTTTGTCGAGAATAATAATCACTAGTCATCCCCTTTGAGCCTTAATTGAATTTTCTTGTTAACCTCGTGATGAAGATATTGAGTTGCGGGTTGGGAGTTGGAGGTGACGATTGATTGCTGTGTAAATATTCGTGTTTGATTCGATGTGAAAAAAAAAAAAAAAAAAAAAAAAA